ATTTTTAATTACATAAGAGGTAAAGGAAGAGAAAATGAGAGAAAATTACAAAGTGGAAATCGAGGCATCATCCACAAAATAAAAATTCAGATAATCATTGTCACTCCCCGAGCCTATACCCTGGACGTGGCCGGCACTCAAGAACCATTGATGGACCTAAGAGAACCTTTGGCCTGACTTAAACATAAGGAGTCCTCCGGAATGTAAGGAGGCTCACCAACTGACTCTGGAGTGCTCAACTGGATCAACGAGGCGCTGAATGCTGATCCTGATTACCTACGTCTGGTTCAGAATAAGATGCAGGCCAACTGGCATCAGTACATTAAATATACGAGTATGCGAGTTGGAATGCTAAAACATAACATAGGCTTGAAAAGATTTTGAAAGAAACACTTACATTGGCTCTTCTCAACTCATGAATAACTTAACTCAATATAAAGCAATAAAACACATGCAATATATGTAAAACTTGTAAAACAGTGGAAAACAACTTAGTTCGTTAAAGAAATGCAATAACAAACTCAACTTTACTTATATAATAAAGTAATATAGTTTATGCGGGAGATTCTCTAACCGACAACCACCACTATGAGCCTAAGTGGCGGTACAACATTTTACCTCACGCTACCAAGGACCATCATATACCTTGCCGGGGGTATAGAACCTAACTCACTAAGTGGATCCACTAGTCTATGCTAAAAGCATCTTAAGGAGTCATCTAAAAAGTATGATCCCTTTACTACCCATGATGACTACATGGTTTATGGAGACTTGAGTTAATGTGAACTCGCATCCCCATATCTAGGGGTGTGTATCGGTCGGTTCGGTTCGATTATAAGTATTATCGGTTCGGTTTATCGGTTTTCGGTTTTTAAATATGCTAAACCGATAACCAAACCAATAAGATATTTGTTATCGGTTTTCGATTTATCGGTTTTAGGTCTTTAACGGTTCGGTTTTCGGTTTAACCAATAAGAAAATGCTTTCAAAACAAATATATGACTTATCCAATAATTTGACGCGATAAATAAAGAGAATCAAATAAAACCAAATCATAGACAAAAGTCAAAACAGTAGCAAATGAGGCCATGTTTATGGTAACTAAATGAAGTTCTTACGTTATTTAAAAAAAAATACACACACAATTTGAATTCTTGACGTTAATCAAATTGCAGTTATTTACAATCGTGCAAAAGCTAATATTAGTCAATTATAAACTAACTAAAGTAAATAAGTAATACTAAAAAGTAAAACCTAAAGATAGAGAGGAGAGTTAATTGTTAAGTAGTGTTAATTATTGCGTAGGATTTTATATTTTTAGTCTAATATACTACTAATTATATTAATATATTTTTTAATATATTATATATATGTATAACTAAAAATTAAAATAGTAAATTATTATATTCTTAATGGGTTATC